CCCTCCCCACAGCTGAAGCTCTGAGGCTCAGAGAGGTCTAGTGACCAAGGTGCACAGCGGGTGTGTTTTACGATTGGATTTGAAAGCCTGGTCTCCTGGCTCCAGGGTTCTCTCCTCCACCATGTTCCTGCTGGTTCCCAGGGCCGCGGGAGGGCCAGCTTAGCTCTTGGCCGCTGCTGCACGGAGCTGTCACCCTGTGATCTTAGTCCTCTGAGTGGAGGAGGTCAGCCTGCAGAGGGGCCGTGGATCCTGCTTTCCGGGTCAGCCCACGCCTTCTGTTTCATCTCCCCCCAGCTCCTTTGGGGGCTTCTGGGAGAGCGGCGTCCAGCAGTCCCTCGCTGTGGCTCTGTTCTCTGGCGGGCTCACACTGCAGCGGGCACCGTGCAGCCACCCTCTGTCCTCGGACGGAGGTGAAACCCTGGAGCTGAGAGGCCTCTGGACAGTGTGACATCCTGACGAAACAGGCTGCCCTGAGATTCCTCATTCTTGCCCACCTGACGCCAGAGATGAAGGGGGTCTCCCTGCCTGTTTGGCAAGGGGACACAATTCCGGGGGGACAAATCCACCTTCCTGGCCTCACTTTGTGACAAAACAGGGATCAGATCCCTGCATTGCATGGACAGATGTTGCTGGGCCGCTTCCAGATGGGGAGAGCTGTTTAAATGAGGCCAGCCTGCCTTTCATGGTGAGAATCTCAAAGCATTTAAGAATGAGTAACTAATGAAGTTCAACCTCCCGAAAAAGCAGGAATTATTATCTTCCTTTTATAAATAGAGCAAAGGTCACACAATCGATGGCAGATGCAGGGAACGGAGGTGAGAATTCTGCTTTTGTCCCTGGCTGCAGCCACCCAGCTCTGACAGAACTCCTTTCTGCTCTCTGACTTCCGGCCAGAGACACAGAACTGGCCTTTGTGTGTCTCCACTTAAAGGTTTGAATTCTATGTATGGTTCGTGTGCCTTTGATATGTCTGGAATTTGAAAAAGAAAAGGAGAAGAATGAGGTTTGATGCTTTTGAGAGATCGTGTTGGGACTGAGCTGTATGTAGTGGGTCAAATGCCAATAAAGGTGTTTAAAAAAAAAAAAAAAAAAAAAAAAAAACCTGCTCACCAGATCTTTTGAAATTTCACTTTTATTCTCTGTCTGAAAGAACTTGGACTGTTAAAATTAAACAGCGAGTATCTTTAGTCACCAAAATGATGGTTATGGGAATAACAAAGCCACCACTTATTGAGCGCCAACTGTGTGCTAAGTACCGCTCTTCTTACTTACATACATTATATTGTGTGATTCTATTAATACTAAATAGCCGAGGAGGCTTCTAGTATTCATTCACTGTATAGGTAATATAACTGGGCTTAGAGGTGTAAGATGGGTTGAGAAGAGAAGAAAGAAAGAGACAGCCCAAAGAAAATTAATTAAATGAAAGTGACTGGGTATATACTCTGTGCCCGGGGTGTTGTGTTGTGATAGATCAAAAGATGGAGATACAAAAATGAATAAGATCGCTCCAGATTCCTGGTCTCAACAAGTTTATCGCCTTGTGGGTCATTGAGGATGAGTTCTGAGCATTTAAGAAGGCAAATAATGCCCTAAGACAGTGGTTGGTAAACTCATTAGTCAACAGAGTCAAATATCAACAGTACAACGATTGAAATTTCTTTTGAGAGACAAATTTTTTAAACTTAAAACTTCTTCTAACGCCACTTCTTCAAAATAGTCTTGCTCAGGCCGTGGTATTTTGTGAAAGAGCCACACTCAAGGGGGCAAAGAGCCGCATGTGGCTTGCGAGCCGCTGTTTGACGACCATGGCCTTAGCCGGTTTTGCTTAGTGGGTGGAGCATTGGCCTGCGGACTGAAGGGTCCCCTGGGTTTGATTCCGGTCAAGGGCTCATGCCTAGGTGGTAAGAGCCATCCCTGGCCCTGGTCAGGGTGCATATGGGAGGCAACCAATGGATGTGTCTCTCTCACATCGGTGTTTGTCTCTGTGTGTCTCTCTCCCTCCCTTCCACTCTCTCTGAAAACCAATGGAAAAATATCTTCGGGCCTGGCTGGTGGGTTCCGTGGTTGAGTGTAGACCTATGAACGAGGAGGTCACAGTTCAATTCCCAATCAGGGCACATGCCTGGGTTTTGGGCTCCATCCCTAGGAGGGGGCAAGGCAGCCTATCAATGATTCTCCCTCATCATTGATGTTTGTCTCTCTCCCTTCCTCTCTGAAATCAATAAAAATGTATTTTAAAATATATATATATTAAGATGAGGATTAACAAAATAAATAAGTAAATAAGAAGCTGCCTGGCCATAGCCTCTCGCGGTACCCTCCGAGATCCCGGATCTGTCTGTTGCTTCAACAGTGTTTGGATGGAACAGACCCAGGGACACCCCTACTTCCAGCTCCAGCCACTCTCCTGTGTCTTATCCAGTCACCACCTTCAGAACCACCTCTGGGACCAGCCAACACACCTTTTCTTTTTTTCTTTTTTTTTCCTACCTTAACTCCTTATTGTCGAACAACCATGAGCTCCCAAATTTGTCAGAATTATTCTACTGAGGTGGAGGCTGTAGTCAACCGCCTGGCCAACCTGCATCTGCGGACCCCACACCTACCTCTCTCGGGGCTTCTATGGATGATGTGGCTCTCGAGGGTGTGGGCCACTTCCACAAGTTGGCAGAGAAGAAGCGAGAGGGCGCTGAGCATCTCTCAAAACTGCAAAACCAGCGCCCTGGCCCCATTCTCTTCCAGGACGTGCTGAGGCCTCCCAGGATAAGTGGGCAAAACTCAGGACGCCAGGGAAGCCGCCCTGGCTTTGGCGAGGAGCCTGAACCAGGCCCTTCTGGAGCTGCGAGCCCCGGGTTCTACCCGCGCCGATGCTCAGCTCTGTGACTTCCGGGAGAACCACTTCCTGGGTGAGGAGGTGAAACTCATCAAGAAGATGGGCGACACCTGACTCACCTCTGCAGGCTGGCGGCCCCCAGGCTGGGCTGGGCGAATACCTCTTAGAAAGGCTCACCCTCAACAGGACTAGGAGCCTTTGGGGCCCAGAGGCCTTTGCGGGGCCCCTCTGCCTCCCCTGGTGTCTGGCTTTTACCTGAGCCTCTTCCCGAAACTACTAGCCTTTCTTTTAACGACGCTGAAGCCCTCTCCCATGCATTGGACCAAATGAAACAATAAAGCTTTTTGCAGCAAAAGAATAAAAATAAATAAAAATAAACAAACAGACAATTATGTCAATACAATTCAGTCCAGTAGTGTTCGTTGAGTCCTGGTGTATGTTAGACACTCTATGCATTGCTAGGGATGGTCCCTCTTCTCATGGAGTGTGTAGTCTAGTGGGAAGGTCAGACATTAATCAAATAATCACACAGATTTAAAGCTGCAGTTGAGTCAAAGACACCAGATGGGCTACAGCTGGACAAAAGAGTAGTATCCAGAATACATAAAGAACGCCTACACTTAATAAGAGATAATCCAATAGAAGCACTGTTAGATACATCAATGGGCAATTTTAAAAAGACAGAAGGCAAACGGACAGTAAACAAATGAAAGTATACCCAGTCTCCTTTTTAAAAAAATAATATATTTTATTGATTTTTTACAGAGAGGAAAGGAGAGAGTTAGAAACATCGATGAGAGTCATGGATCAGCTGCCTCTTGCACGCCCCCTACTGGGGATGTGCCAGCAACTAAGGTACATGCCCTTGACCAGAATCCAACCCTTCAGTCCGCAGGATGATGCTCTATCCACTGAGCCAAACTGGTTTCGGCCCAATCTCCTTTTAAAAAATATTTTTTTATTGATTTCAGAGAAAGAGGAGAGAGAGAAATGGAGACACCAATGATAAGAGAGAATCATTAATCAGCCGCCTCCTGCACGGCCCACATGGGGATTGATCCTGCAACCTGGGCATGTGTCCTGACTGGGAATTGAACCCTGACATTCTGGTTCATAGGCCAGATGCTCAACCACTAGGGCACACTGGTCAGGCCTCAGGCTCTTTTGTAAACAGGGAATTGCAAATTAAAGCATTGAGATTACTATGTCACACCCATCGGCTTGGCAAAAAAAACAACTAAAGTCTGACATTACCAAATGTTGCTGAGGATGCCAACCACGGGACTCATGTATTGCTCTCCAAGAGTAAACTGGTCCTACCACTTTGAAAAACTGCTCAGTCATGCTGAGTGAAGCTGCTAATTTGATAATTTGAATGACCTGAACTCGGCAATTCCACACCTAAGTATCTACCCAGATGGCTCATTTTCCTACAAGGGGAAGGGATAAAAAAAAAAATACTAATTGTAGCTCTGTCCCCAAGAACAAACGAGTTTGAAAATAAGCTGAATGTCCGCCAGAAGGAGACAGGTAAGTAAAATTCGGTGAACATGATCTAGAACTACACGTATCCGTAAGAGTACATTTCAAAATCAATGCTGAGTGAAGAAAGCAAGCTGCGCAATAATATAATCAATATAATGGCATTTCTTCAAATGCAGGAGAGTGGGTACCCTAGGTTCAGAGGTCTCCACCTGGATTTGTAAAGTTTTATGTCCTAAAGGAAAGATTGGGCCCAGCCAGCGTGGCTCAGTGGTTGAGCATAGACCTATGAACCAGGAGGCCATGGTTCGATTCCTTATCAGGGCACATGCAGGGGTTGTGAGCTCAATTCTCAGTAGGGGATGTGCAGGAGGTAGCTGATCAACGATTCTCTCTCATCATGGATGTTTCCATCTCCTTCTTTCTCTCCCTTCCTCTCTGAAATCAATAACAATGTGTGTGTGTGTGTGTATGTGTGTGTGTAAGAAAATGTTTGAAGAAAAATTAGCAAATGTCAAGCTTTGACAAAGGGCGGAGGGGGTGGTAGAGAAGGGGCAGAGAAGAAAAAGAGGTTGATATTATTCTCTAGGTTTTATATATATATATATATATATATATATATATATATATATATATATATATATATATATATGCTTTGATCTATCAAAGGAGGGTTTGACTGAATTGGGGTTGGGGTGGGAGAGGATTCAGAGCAGGTGCCCCTGAGGAAATGGTGCTGACTTAGGATGAGAGCAAACATTGAGCAAGTAAGGAAGGGCAAACGGTATTCCAGGCAGAGAGAACAGGCTGTGCGAAGACCCTGAGGTGGGAGGGTGGATGAACAAAGAGACTAGGCACTGACACCCTCCGTGTGATGGGAGCAGAGGGAGGCCGGGGCTGGAGATGGGGGTGGGGGGAGGCGGTGCACAGAGCATGCAGGGCCTCCCAGGCCGTCTTGAAGGGTCAGGTCTTTATCCCTAGGATGATGAAAGCAGGGGAAGGGGGTGGGGGGCAAGTATTGGGGCCCGGAGACACTTCCGCTCAGCCAGATCGTGGAATAAGCTCGGCATTCTTAAAGGGATGACTCACCTCATGAGCTTTGGAGAATGAGTAAGAAGCCGACAATTAGGGGAGGAGGGGGAGTGAGATGCAAATTCCCTGGGTAGGGCCCAACTGCAACAAATACATTGACAACCTTCAAATTCTTTTGGTCCCAACTCTAGCGGTGTTCATGGGAAAATGGCAGGCCGGCTGTGTCCAGGACAGAGAGGGGGTGGCAAACAGCGCAGCCGTAAGCTGGGAAATGGATAGTTCAGACACGGATTGCAGGTGGCTCGCCCTAGCAGCGCGGCGAGAGGATGAGGAGGAGGTAGGAGTGCAGACAAGGAGATCTTCGAGCGGAATGTTAATCGCCCAAACCAGGCTGGAATTGGGATGGAGCATGCAGCGTGCCTGGGGACGTATTTAGGAGGGAAGGCGAGGAGGCTAGATCTAGGGCGACGGGGCGGGCGGCAGCGCCATCTCGGAGATGGACTGTAATAGGGGCCAGACGCGGGAAGTCAGAGGTGCGTGCGGGGCAAGCCAAGTGGAACTGTCCGGACGCAATGGGATGGGCGTGCCAGGGGCTGCGGAGGGGGGAGAGCTGGGTGTGGGAGGCGCCTCCTGTGCGTGGTTATTAACCACTCACAGCAGCAAATGAGCTAGTCCGGGAGGGCGGGGAGGGGAAGGAGAAAGAAGCTGAGCAGGTCGCCGGAGGAGCATCCGTGATGGCATTGGGGCAGGTCTGGCGGAGAGAAGAACCGGAGGGGAAAGAGCACGCAGACGCTGAGTGGCCCCGCGTCCCGCTGCAGGGGCGCCGGGGAAGGTGTGGCATCGCGGGCTTCTCCGCCAGACTGCAGGCGGAGCCCGAGCGCGCTCGGTTCAAGCAGGCATTGCAGAGCCAAGCCTCGACCGCGGCCTCCTCGCGCTGCTCCTGCTGCCCTGGCTGCAGCCGCCGGGGACGGCAGGGCCACCCCGGCCATCCCCCCACCCCAGACTCCCCGCCACCCCAGGCCGCGCCTCCCGGCCTCCCGCGGACCCGGCGACGTCACTGCGGCTCTGACGCCGCTCATGGGGGCACAGGCGGGGCGGCTCGGGGCGCGGTGTCCTCTCGGGAGGTCCTGGTCCTTGCAGCTCGCGACCCCGTCCTTGGCCCTCCTCCAAGGGAACCTCGATTTTCCAAACTCGGGAGGGCGGCTGTCCTTCGGCAACTGATAAGGACTGAGCTCCCAGGGAAAGATTGTAGCAAAGCCCGGGAAGAAAGAGCAGGACCCAAGAAAGAGACACTTAATAGGCGCCACCTAAGAGTTTTCTGCAGGCTCAGCGGACTGTAAGACCAGTAAGAACGACAACCACCACAATAGCCACCTTTTATTGAGCGCTTCCTGGGTGCCAGGTGCGGTGGTAAGCGCTTTGCAGGCACCAGCCCTGGAAGGTGAGTACCGCCGTCAGCCCATCTGGGGGCACAGAGAGGTTAAATCACTTGCCCGCGAGCACACAGCCGGCTGATGTCAGGGCCAGCAGCATTCCACCCCGGGCTGTCTGGCCCCATGACTCCTAACGTCAGTCCGCTCCGCCGCGGGGACCGTTCTCTTCTTCATCTTGAAGGTGAGCAAGCAAAGGCACGCGGAAATGGAAGCACCTTGCCCAAGGTCACCTAGTAAGCAGGAAGCGGGTGATGAGGCAGAAAGCGAACCCAGGGCTCCTCTCTGTCAACGGCACTTTCAAACCGCCTCCGGCGGCCCAGCGGGCTTTGGCCCCTGAACTCCAAGAGGCGTGCAGCCTCTTCGGAGGTTGGGTGGGTTCCCGCGGCCTCCCTCCGATCCCCGGGTGAATAAATCCGTTATTTCTGAGCATAGCGTCATCTCTGCTCCGCCCGCAGGCGTCAGAAAAGGGACTCGTCTCCCGAAATCCTGCGGGAGACCAGGCAGCGCGGTCCTCGCCAAGGATGGAGCGGAGGCGGAGGCAGCCGCCGGGATCCCGGGTCCCACCTGCAGGGCGGTGGGGCCGGCGCGGCTTTGACGTTTAGTCCATCGCGGCCGGCAGAGGGCGCTGCCGCACGCGCCTCTGGTCCCAAGGCACCAGGACCCTGGACTAGCAGGTTCGACCTGCAGACCAGTGAATTCGGAACCCCCAAAGCGGGTGGGATTTTTTTGTTTATTTATTTGTTTTGGTGGCTGGCACCCCTTTAGCCCCTCACCTCAGCTCTGGGCCTGCTTTCCTGACTACTCTTACCTATCTCCTGAGCTCCGGGCACCCCACCATTGGCCTTGGAGGTTTCCCCAGTCCCTACACTGCTGGCGTAGTCACCTCTTGTTAAAAGGCAAAGAATTCTGATCCACCCTATTTAAAGGCTCGGGTGTTTGAAAGTTTGGGCTGTCTCTCTCCTTCTCATGGGCCCTTTGTTGATATAAAATGGAGATAAATCAACCACTTGGAGTAGATAACTAATTTTCTTTCCTTCTTCAATATAGGAGGAGGAGGTGGTTAAGGAAGGAGCAAATAGATGAAAAAAATCTATTTTTGATGCAGCTGCAATGTGTTGAGCGCTCGTTTTGTGCTGTCCTTCCTGTGCCTTGAGACCTTAATCCTCACTGCAGGCATGAGAGGTGTGTGTGCATCATTATTCTCACTTGACCAATAAGGTCACACGACTGGTAAATGGCGATGCGGGGAACCCACTAGCGGTGGTCTGACATTCCAACCGTGTCCCCATCACCCAGAAAGCACAAGCTGATACAACCAAACAGAAGAGGTAAGGTATAAACCATGCAAAAACAGACCCAGATCTACTCTGAATGCTTGGGAAACACCGCATGGGAATTAGGGGCTTCAATGGTTTTCTGAGCCCCCACTTGGTTGTCTAAAAAGAAACACAAAACCTAAAGGTGCAATAAGAGAACAGGCATGAGGCCTAAGCTTTCTCTTGGAAGGGCATCCGGAGAGGCCCACTCACTCTCTATGTCTGGGCTCTGAGAAAATAAAGGTGGTTCTAGGAAAATCTGAAAAGTATGAGAGGAGGGAAAAAAAATCCCTTCTGTGGTTTTTACTTGAACCAAACCTCATTCTGCTATTTGTGTTTTATTTTAAAACTAATGTGGCTCTCCCCACCCTTTGAATTGGCATGTAAATAGTAAAAACAGAAGGAAGGCCAGCTCCAGACTTCAAATATAGCGGTGGGTTCCTCAGGAAGGAGGTACATGACTTGAAGTGGAAATGCGGATCAAATGAGGTGCCTTAAACATTTCAAAGACAGACTTTCCACAAGGAATTTAGATCATAAGCTCTTAGAACAGGAGCTTTGTCTGGGTTTTGGGCTCAGTATGGTGTCTAGAATCTTTGAGTGCCCAATAAATGTGGAAAACAAATCACACGTTTCATCTTCGTCTGCATCATCTAACCATCTGGGCCGCTGCTTTGCTTATGGTTTTAAAGCGAGGCTTCTGGGGGGATTTTCCTGTCCTCTGGCTCCCAGATACACACCCTCCTTCAGACCCCTCACTTTTCCAGAAGTTTGCTCTGGGAATCCAGTCAAGGTGAGGCAATCGTTGATGATGTCATCAGGCTTGGTCACATAGAGTGACTGCACACTCTGGAATCACCCATTGGAGGCCTTTCCAAACAAGGAAACCAAGCAGAAGAGGCCTCCAGCAACTGACGTATCACTTAAGAGTACTCCATTCCTTGCCCTAGGTCTTTGAACTGGAAGGATTCTTCTCTTACCCCCTACAAGAGGGCTCTGAACGTCCCAGCCTGCCTCTTACAAAATCCTTGGACTTTAGAGGGCCGCCTGAGAAGGCACATGGACATCCTTTAAATTGTCAGCTGAGCCTGAGGCACTGGCAGACTCCATGTCCAAGAGGGCTGGGGGTGTTATTCAGTTTCTGACTTAACTTTGTCCAGGTGTCAGCAGGGGTGGGTCTAGATATGTAAATCCAGTAATGCTAGGGCCTAGTTAAGAATGCAAATAAGCTCCTTTGACCCTATAAAATAAACCTGCTGTGTGGGTCGGCTGCTTGCTGCCTCTCCACCAGAGAAGATGGCGCCCACCTAGCGCCCAGCTTGATGAATTTATTTCTGCCTCTTGGTCTCTTTCTTTCTTTAATTTCTTAATCCCCAGCTCCTCCACTCAGGAACCTGTTTCCTTTTCCGTGATGGAGATGGACACGGAAAAGAGAAACAGCACCCCCCACATTGGACTTCTGTGATCTTATCTCTCTCTGCTCTTTCGCTCATTTTTTTCAATGCATTTATTCTAACATGCATCAAGAGCCCACTATCTGTAGGTGCTGAGGGTACAGCAGAGAATCTGACATGGGCTTTAAGCTCACTTTTTCCCATTCCTACCTGGCTCCTGACCCCACAGCTCCAACTTTCATGCCTGCAGAGGCCCCGCAATACTGAAAGACTTGCCTCCCCAGGTGTGAAGTTTTTCACATACATATCTGACATTTGATCCGCTCCTGGCAGTCCCCTGACTCTTATAGAGCACCTTGCTGACACCCATTTGGCAGAAGTTCTGGGCTCTGACATATCTGGAAATACTACAGCACTTGTCCACAATCCTTTTCATCCTTCCTAGTCACTCCTTCAGTTCACAAGATCACTGTTGATGACAGAAGATATTTATGAAGCATCTATTACAATTAAAAAAAATCTCACAGTGCCATAATACCCCACTGGTCAAAGGAAATTGTTGGCTTAAGCGGACAGTGACCATCTGACAAAGGGACGTGTCAGATAATACTCATGAGTTTTCAGGTCATTTTTTAAATTGAATCTTGGGAATGAGTGATTCATAATAATGAGGGGAAGGAAAAACACTAGGCCTGTTTTAGCTTTCAAGATTCTTCAAATGAAATAGATTTTTACCATTAACTCCCTAGAAAAGACAGAAGGCCTAAGGTAAATTGCCAGGGTTTTTGTTTTGTTGTGTTTTTTGTTTCTTGGGTTTTTGTTTGTGTTTTGGGTTTTTTTTTAGGGGGGATTTCTTGGGGGGGACCCTATTAATACTAAATAACCTTGGTCTTGACCCATTCCAAATAAATAAATAAAGGATTGGACCACAGAATTCAGACTATGTCCCTGGAAATCCCTTTAGGAAGTAGATTCCAAATCAGTATTCTTATTCTTCTTGAATATCCCACCCCTAAGACTGCCTCATCCTTCTAGATCCAGCACTATTTTCTCTCCTCTTCAGGAAGGCAGAGTCTCCGGAACCAGAATGGTGGAGAGAAAGGAGGGCTTGTCCTTACCTGAGCTGCAGACCATGTGAATCTAGAGAACTCACTGTTACCAGTACCGGTGGCGTCTGCATAGGTTTCTGCATTCTCTGGCTGATGTCCAAGGTCTTCACAACATGGGGCCTGAGATAGGCCGAAAAGAATGCCTATCTGTGGAGGACGAAGCGGGTCCACCCACCCAGAAGCCCGTGGTGGTCAGTGTCCGCGTGTCCAGCTGCTGGGGTGAAGAGAGCTAAAACCACTGAACCTTCCTGCTGGGATCTCTCCAAGCCCTTTTGGAAACCGGCAAGAGCACTTGTCTGGGGAAATTAGTTTTGCACTTTCACGGAGTGAGAAATTCCTCAGGGGCATTCTTGTACTCAGGAAGAGAAATCAAACCCAGCTCATTCCTTCAGGGCCCATGCTATTAATAAAGCCGAGTGGGTTCAGTTCAGTGGGTCCAGCCTGGGGCCATGGGTGGGGCTGGAGCAAAGGAGTTCAGCGAAATTTCACCTGTGGCTAAGGCCCTCGCCCGACTGGCGCAGGCTTGAGATTTCAGGGGCTTGTGTTACCAGCGTGTAAACACCGTGAGTGACAGCCAGCGTCCCCCAAGAGACCACAGAGGATCTCAACCCCTTCCTATCTTCCTAGAAACCCTGGCGGCCCGGCTGGCTGCTTGCTGTCTGATGCAACAGTTTGCAACGCCGTTCTGGGAGCCCAGCCTGCAGCGGGGTGCTGGGCGGCCTGGCGGCGCGCATGCGCGGCCGCGGGCCTGCGGGCGGGCCGGGCCGGGCCGGGGCGGGGGGAGGCTCTGCAGGAGTGTGCTGGGGACGAGGCGGGCCGGGAGACCTTTGGCAGCCCGCGCCCGCGATCTGAGCTTAATTAAACTTCTCCTGAGGCATTGGCTGACTGATTGACCCAGTGATCCAAAGAAAATCAGAGAGGCCCGAATCGCCCTGAACGCCGCCGCGGGAGGGAGAAGCTGGGGAGTTGCCTTTGGGTTTCCAGAGCTGGGCCTCCCAATTCAGCCTCCCTCCCCTGAGCTCTCCCCATCCACCAAATCCACCATGCCTAAGGGCCCAAAAATTCACCAGGGCCTTGGCACCGCTGGCCTGGGCTCTCTTTTCGACAAGAGAGAGAAGAGCAGTGATTTTTTTTTTTTTTTTTTTTTTTTTTTTTTTTGGCCGGGCGGGGGTTGGGGGGGTGGCGCGAGGGGGGAGGGGGAAGAAAAGGCAAAGTGTTTTACTTGTTTTGTTGTTTGCTTGCTTTTTTTGTTAATCCTCACCCAAGGATATTTTCCCATTGATCTTTTAGACACAGTGGAAGAGAGAGGAAAAGACAGAGAGAAACATCCATGTGAGAGAAGTACATGGATTGGTTGCCTCCTGCACTGGCCCTGACCAGGGCCCTGGCTTCCAAGGAGCCTGCAACCGAGGTCGTGCCCTTGACCTGAATCGAACCCGGGACCCTTTGGTCCACAGGCCAACGAAGAGGCGAAGCTTTGATAGGGTCTTGATCTGTCATTTTCCCAGCCTGCTTTCTCCACTCCTATGCCTTAGCCAGGGTTTGTTTTGTTTTTTTTTAGCAGAAGAAAACATGGCATTATAGATTATTTCCCAAAATTTTCAGCCATTCAAGTCTTGCCTGCATGATTTTCTTCCGCAGTCCACCAATATTATATTCTTAATTGACTTTTATTTTACTTTACTAACTTTCCTTATTCTTTAAATTAACTCTAAATTGATTCCCTTTTTCTGCATAGCCTTGCCCTAAGCAATAACATTAGCAAAACCAGAGCTTTGATGTGCTGGTCACATATTTTAATACACTTGAAAATAAATTTATAACTATCCAAATAAAAAAATGTATATGTTAGCTAAAAGTTACTTGCTGCTACATTTGGAGAAAAACTCCAGAGGTAATAACAATAATGGCTAACATGTGTTGAGTGATTGCCAATGTCCCAGACACTGTTTTAAGCACTTTAACTATTCCAAGTCCTTATGACACCTTAGAAGGTGGGTGTTCTTTACATTCCACAGAGGAGAAAAGGGAGGCACAGAGAGGTTAAAGTACTTGCCTAAGATCACCAAGTCAGGATGAAAACTACTGGCCTCACTCCAGACTAGAGCCTATACTGCTGGGCTATCAAAGAGGCTAAGTTACTGCGGGAGATCACCCGGGTGGTTAGTCAGTCTGCACTTGAACCCAAGGTTGGCTGACTCCAGAACTGAGCTCTAACTCCTTCCTGCCTGTTTTCCAAATCTCACTGCATACAGCCTTTTTATCTCTGTCTGCCTCCTTGGAATCCAAAAGATGCTTCCAAATATTTCTCTCCTCACTCCCTATATCTCCCCCTCTCGCTCCCCCTGCGTGGAACAAAGGCTCTCATTTCTAGTGTTTTATTCTCTTCTCCAAACTAAAGGTACCCATAAATCTCCGATTTCCAGGAGAATGCCTACTTTCCTCCATTGGCCATAGAACTGCTTAGAAATTCCAACTATTAGCATCACCAAACTACATTTCCCAGACTGCCATTCTCACATGGAAAGAGAACAAAAATCCTATGTCAAACCATGTGTCTCCTATTTTGGGGTTGGAAAATCTGGTCACTAGCTTGGATAAAGATTGGTATGCCCATAGACTAATTCTTCTGTCTCAAGACAGACATGTATTTCCCAGGCCTCAATGATTGGGGAATGCGGGGGGTAGGAAGGGGTTAGGGTTAGGGTTAGGGCAGTTAATGGGGAGGGGGGACACCACGTGTGTGCGTGCGCAAACACACATTTGTGTGTTGGAGATTATTTCAGCAAACAAAACCTTCAATTAGAGGCATAAATGAAGACTTGGCCTAAGATTTCTATAAGATGGTTGACCCATGCCCAGTAGATGTATTTTCTTTTTTCAACAGCCCCTACCACCACCACCCCTTCCCTCTCTTCACTTCCTTTTCCTTCCTCTTCTTCCAGATTCTTCTCTTAATTGTACCATTGTGCCACTCCTTTGCTCCCCAACCCCCATGCCCACACCCACTCTTTAACTGTTTAGTATAAAATCCAGCCCACCAGACTGAGGTTTTCTTCCATCCAAATGTTATTTTCAGAAGGAGCCATTGAGGTTGGGGTGTAATTGCAGCGTTGAGCCTCTGCAAGCCAAGCTGAAAATAATCAGCGAGGCAGATGGGCTGGGAAGAGTGTGGTGGCCACTGCCCAAAGAGCAAGAGAAACCCAATGGAGTGAGTCAGAGAGAGGCAGGGCCAGGCTGGGCCTGCTGGGCTTATGGCTGGGAGTTCAGTTAAGGGGAAACTGCCCAAGCTATTGGGGCCTTTCACTGAAGTCCTTTCCAAGGTGGTTCCTGCCTGCACATCAAAAGTCCATATTTCCTGTGACAACCACTTAGCTTCTCTTGCTCTTACTCAGTTGGGCCGTAGTGGCCAGTAGGCCGTATGCAAACCTAACCATCCAGATGGCTCACCCATCTCTAGAGCAGAGTTGGCTCTATTGGCATTCGGGGCTGGATAATTCTTAGTTGTAGGGGGCTGTCTTGTGCATTGTATGGTGTTTAGGAATATCCTTAGCCTCTGCCCTCTAGATGCCAGTAACACACACACACACACACACACGTGACTATCAAAAATGTCAGGTGTACCAAATGTCCTTAGGAGGCAAAGTTACCCCTGGTTGAGAACTACTCATCTAGAATGATCCAGGCTTTGAGAAGGGTCACATCACCTGTCCCCACGGGGGTCTCACTGCCTCGCATCCTATCTGAATGAGTCTTGATAAAAACTATTGGCTAACTGCCACTTCCAATGACAACTGGACCCAGCATGAGCGCTAACTGTGTGCCAGGCACTAGACAAGGTCTTGAGAAAAAAGCAGCAAACAGGACGGACGTGTTCCTGTCCTCACGGAAATGACAGGCGGAGTGGGGGCAAGACAGGCATTAAACAACCCTGAGTGAGAGGCATGTAAAGAAGAGAAATGGGGTACTGTAAGAAAGTCAAAGGAGGCTTCTCACCTAGGTTATGGGTCCAAGAAGGGTGCTTGGGGGAAATGAGAAATTAACCAGTGGGAGATTTGAGGGTGAGGCAGGGCTCCTGAATAGGGTCAGCGTGCTCAGAAGCCCTGAGTTAAGAGAGAATGTTGGACATTCTAGAAACCCAAAGAAGTCTGTCATGGATTAGGCTTAGGACGCCGGGAAGTCCTTTTCTCCTCTCTCCCCACAGCTTGCTTTGCCTCTACTCCTTCTCCAGATTTCTAGCATAAGCACATAAACATAGAATCATATTAAACCATATTTAAAACCCCATTTGTCCTTGCTCAAGCCTCTCCCCCTTAGTCACCCAGTTACCAAGTTTTGTCATTTTACCACCAAAATCTCCTTGTCTCCATTCCCACCACCACAGCCCTCATGCTGGCTCTTCTTCATTACTCAGCCGAATTTGTGAAATAGCTTCCTAACGAGTCATCTTCCAGGCTTTTCCTCAAAGGAAGACAGAGATCTGACCATGTCTCCGCTGGCTTACAAACGCTGCAGGCTTCCGAGGTCTGTTGGACAGGCTGCTGCCTCCGTGGCTTTTATTCACTAACTGCTCCCAGCTACCTCCCACCCTCCCACTCTCTAGCCACACAGGACCACTAGCCACACCTGGTGGGCCTTCACACCTCTGTGATTTTGCTCTTTTCTTTGTCTGGACAGCCCTTCCCCACCAAAATTATTTGGGGAATCCCCACATATCCTTTAAGACCTAGACCAAATGAGCTCATGATTCTCTTCTATCTCTTCTTAGAAGACTTCTCGTAATTCTTCCCTCTGTTTTTATTGGGATTTATATGTTGCTGCTGGTTTACCATTTGTCATTGTTCACCCTTAGTTGTCTGTTTAAACCCATCCCTCCTCCACAGAGTGGGAGGATCTCAGAGGCAGATAATGTAGTGGGCACTGCTGGCTGATTACCCAACACCCATGACCCGCTCCCAATTTCCAGAGAGAAGCCAAAGAACTGCAAGGCCCAGTGTACTAGTTAGTGTAGAAGTGAAACTGTTAATACAAGCACAGCCAGAGCACAGTCTTAAGCAAGCACGCGTGCCTCAGGGAAAGCTGAGCCCTTGCCCAGCTCCGGGGTTGGACCTCCACCTTCTCAAGAACTGGCTCAGGAGCCTGGGCCTACATTAATCCATGTGCGGGAGAGGTTTCTCTGGTTCCTACTCTCCCCTTCTTTAATAACAGAACTCCTGATGTTTCTAGCAGATGGCTATCTTGTAAGACTACATTTCCCCGTCTCCCTTGCAGCTTGATGTTCTGTTAGTGTTAAGTTCTCACCAATGAGCAGAAATGATTGTATCACTTCTAGGTTCTACCCTCACAAGGAATATGTATGTGCTCCTTTGAACCTTCCCTCCCCGCACCCCCAACTTGGAGATGACAAAAATTGAAGCAGAAGGAAGAGAGAAGGAACAAAGAGAAGGAAGCCACATATGGAGGAGGATGGAGCCCTCCTAGCAGTCTCTGAAGGCTTTTTTCTGAATCCTTATATCATATGAAAGATATATAAATTTCTATTTTGCTTATACTTTTGTATTTGGAGTCTCTTTGTTACAGCAACTTGCCCATACTCTAAAAAATATGCAGCACCTGGCTTCCCTGGGACTCAAAGTGGCCCAGGACTGGACCTGGGACCTAGTTAGGGCCAGCAAGATACCTAGCAAGGTTTGATGAGGGTTGCTGGGAGAGAGCTCTATTGTTTTTAAGAGAGAGCATCCTGGCACAATCTTCTCTTTTTCTCTTCCTCAGGACACCATGGGGCCTGGAACTATGGCAGTCCTCTTACCAACAGCCTAAGAATGGGGCTACACATAAGTAGGGCAGAGCTGAGAGAATCTCGGGGAAATAGAGTCAGTTTCTGGACTAAACTCTAAAGCCCACAGTCTTAGTCTGCTTGGGCTGCCACAGACCAGGTTGCCTAAACAACAGAAATTTATTTTCTCACCGTCCTAAGGGCCAGAAGTCCAAGATCAAGGTGCCATCAGGATTGGTTTTGAGGAGGCCTCTCTTCCTGGTTTGTAGACAGCCACCTTCTCACTGTGACATCACATGGCCTCTTCTCCATGTGTGTAAGCTCTGGTGTCTCTTCCTCTTCTTTAAAGATACTAGCCCAGGTGAATTAAAAAGCTCCACCTTTATGACCTCACTTAACCTTAATTACCTCCTTAAGTACCCTATCTCCAAATACAGCCATATGGAAAGTTGAGGCTTCAATTTATAAATTTGGGAGGGGGGCATGCACAATTCAGTCCATAACACTCACCCTACCTCTGGGTTTATGTGTATGTGATCAAATAAATATACTTCTGTTGAAGCTAGCTTGAGTTGGTTTTCCGTCACAACTTACCCTACAGTGTTTCACTCCTCTGTATCCCTGCTGGGCCTGGTCCAGAAAGGGTCAATAAATATTTGTGAAATGAATGCCAGTAGCTATTTCCTTTCTTTGCTGGTAATAACTATCTCACAGATAAACTATAAGCATTTCTCTTTCTCTCTGCTCCAGCCAAAACACCTAAAGTAGTCATATGGGCCTCATTGCCAGAAAATTCTTCTTAGTACTGCCACCCCTCCCCCTGATACACACACACACACATTGGCCACTTAGATGGAGAGCTGAGGATGCAGCTATAAAATCAGAAGGTTGGATTAGATACACTCCAGCACACCTTCCAGCAGAAGTGTCCCTGAGCCCCTTCCCGACCTAATGTCCTCTGGCGCTGCCTGAGGCTCTCTCTGAAGGAATCAGCCAGTGTCCAGGCAGGAGACCCATCGAGCACTAACAATGTACCGTCTGTTGAGGGGTCCCTCTGGGCATCTGCCCCTACTCCCTGCGGTTCCACAGGAGGCCTCTTCCAGCACTAACTGTCTCGGGTGTTGTTTAAAGCCCTTTCAAACTCTGAAGTCCCAAGATACTGAAATACATGCCAAATAGACCTCCTGCCCCAAGCACAGAAGAGAAAGCTCTGGGGAGGGCCTGCACTGTCACAACATGGTCCTTCCAGATGAGACCAGAGGGCCTTGCAACGCTCAGACACTCAGCGGGTCCCGCAGCAAGGACACTCCAGTCCCTTGTGCCCGCTGCTCAGCCATCCAGACTGCCATTGGTGCCCACAGTGGGGCATACAGTTCCTTCTTCCTTCCACTTGAGAACTTCGCACATGGAGACCGGGGAAAGGGCTGTTTCATTCCTCAGCCAACTGCAATGTGGGAGAATTAGATCTCCAGGGAAGTGGCCAGTGAATGAACCCTGGCCAGCTAGGACCTTCAGAGTCCAGAGGTCCTTCCAGGCTGTCCTTCCATGTTTTTATTTTTATTTTTATTTTTATATAGTTTTATTGATTTCAGAGAGGAAGGGAAAGGGAGAGAGAGATACTTACGTAGAAACATCAATGATGAGAAAGAATCATTGACAGCTGCCTCCTGCACGTCCCCTACTGGGGATCGAGCCCACAACCTGGGCATGTGCCCTGACCATTTCCTCTTCTGTGAAATGGCGGTCATCACTACCCAGAGAAGCTCTTATCCATGGGAGTGCTCCCGCCTCTCTCCTTTTTTCCTTCCTCCTCCACTGACCACCGCACCACCTAGCTGCGCGACCCCCACTTCCCAGAACCCTCCCACTGCGGCCCAGCCTCCGAGCCTCGCAGGAGACAGTGGTTTCCCTTGCGGCCTGCCGTGGGCCCGCTCCCCTGAGAGCACAGGCCTCCGAACCAAGTGGCTGGGGCCCCACCCTCTTGGTAAACACCAGTTGGGCACCAACTGACCTCAGGAGGAAAGTGCTCCGCTGGGACCCTCCTCTTCCATCCCTGCCTGCCGCCGCCGCTGGACGTTCCAGGGGAAGCGCCAGGCGAAGCTGGCACCCTGGTGCCCGGGCCGCCTCCGTCCTGGAAATAGTCACTGAGAGCCAGATGTTGGCTGAAGGTGGAAGGAAGTGAGAAGTCCCCGCGTGCTCCTCTCCTGCCTCCCACAGCACCGCCCTGGCCGTCCCAGACAGGCCATGTTCTCTGTCATTTGATGTTTTAATGATGGTGGTAGACCCACAGAGAGAGGACTTGCCTGTTGTTCTTGGTTCCTTAAAAAGAAAAACAGAAACTAAATGTAATATATATATATATATATATATATATATATATATATATATATATATTAATCATTTTCATTCTAGGCAATGGGGATGTGTGTTTTGTGTTCTTTTGTAGCATCTTTTTCTGTCTCTAAGTAAAAACGTTGTTAAATGAGTAAGAGGAATACAGATTTATTGGGGGAAGTTTTTGAAAGTACCAAAAAGTAGAAAGAGAAATATAAGAACCACCAAGAATCTCTCCTTTGGACCATTTATATACTGGGTTATCTCCTTCTGGTCCTTGTTCAAGCAAATATTTGCGTCATTGTGTTCTGTTATTTTTGAATTGAGACATAGCTGACATAGAGCATTGTATTCGTTTTAGATTTGTTTTATTCTTTTTCCCAAAAAAAAAAGAAACCATATTGTTTAATAACCTCTTTCCTCCTTAACAATGTATTTTGAAGAGTTTTCCATGCTCTTTTTTTTTTTTTTTTTTTTTTTTTTTTTTAGTAAAGGTGGAATTTAACTGAAGAACAAGTACTCCCACGTGGGGAGGGAGCAAGAATCTCACAGCACAGACTCCCCTGTGGGGAGGGGAAAGAGTCCCACCGAGTCTCTTTTTCCAGTTTATAAAGGCTGCAGGGGTTTTTGGTGCCTCCAGATCCCCTCTGATTGGCCCATGCTTTTAAGTGTTAATATTTACTTTAGAAAACTTTTCTCTATCTTTTTTTTCCATGGAAGGATGAATAGGTATATTTTTTATTGCTGGGATCCATATGGTTCTCGTTGGGATCAAACTATTTATACCGCCCTAGCTGGTTTGGCTCAGTGGAGAAAGCATCGGTTTTCAGACTGAAGGGTCCCGAGTTCAATTCCAGTCAAGGGCACATGCCCGGGTTGGGGGCTCGGTCCCCAGCAGAGTGCATGCAAGAGGCAGCCGATCAATGATTCTCTCTCATCATTGATTCTCTCTCCCTCTCCCTTCTTTTCTGAAATCAATTTTTTTTAATATTTTTAAAAGGAAGATTTATACCTTTCATTATTTGTCCTTATTTAAAAGCTACAATAGTTTTGTTGTAGAAAAGTTAGAAAATACAGACAAGCAAACAAAAGACCATGAAAAATCCTTGAAGTCTCCCCACTCTGAAATAAGCTCTGCTTACATTTTGCCTTTATTATATATATATATATATATATATATATATATATATATATATATATTTTTTTTTTTTTTTTTTTTTTTAAATTTCAAAGAGGAAGGGAGAGGTAGAGAACCATCAATGATTAATCGTCTGCCTCTTGAGCTCGAAACTCGGGCACATGCTCCCACTGGGAATCAAACCAGTGACCTCTCAGTTCATAGGCCGATGCTCAACTGAGCCACACCAGCCCAGCACATTTTAAATCTTCCTGTCTGTTTTTCTATGCACATATACAAATATATAAACACACATTTTTTTTAAAACAAAATTGGAATCCTACCATTCATACCTTTTTTTTAAAGTTTGATCAAAACTGTTCCTTTTTCCCCATTTGAATTTACTTTAGATGCTATGCTTATGGAAGGTACTAATTTTTAAAATTTATTTTGGGGTTACAGCTGACCCCAAAATTATATTCATTTCAGATTAATATAGTGATTAGACATTTACATACATTACGAAGTGATCACCCCAGTAAGTCCGGTACCCACTGGACATCATACTTGGTTGATTATACTATTTTTAACTCGCTTTTTTTGTTTGTGTACTCAACAGCATATCTTACATTATTAGGACTGTTTTTGGCTACAGATGACAAAAGTGAAAGTAACAGAGACTTTAATATGTTCATTTCTTTCTCTAGTAAATGCCGCCAGCGGTAAGCAGCCCGAACTGGTATGACAGCTCCCTGACCATCAAGGACCCAGGCTCCTTCTAACCGTGGCTCTCCATCTTTATTCGTGCCATTCATTCATGACCCAGGGTGGCTGCTCCAAGAGGAAGAAACAAAGAAGACAGTCACTTCTCTCAAAGGATACCTGCTGGATTTCAGGGCGTCACTTCTGCTTATACCCCACTGGCCAGACCTAGGCCCCACCGCCCTGGGAAAGAGGATAGTACCTAAGCATTGGTCCTATTACCACAGCAAAGGGGAGAACAAATATTGACTCATCTGACACGTATGACAAACATCTTTCCATGTGTGTAGTTTTGTATCTTCTTTTTCTCTCTCATTTTAACGAACATTTTACATAGTTAAATTTTTTTTCTAATATATTTTGTTGATTTCAGAAAGGAAGGGAGAGGGAGACAGAAATATCAATGATTAGAGAGAATCACTGATCAGCTGCCTCCTGCATGTCCCTTGCTGGGGATTGAGCTCCCTGACCAGAATTGAACCCAGGCCCCTTCAGACACTCCATCTATTGAGCAAACCACCCAGGGCTCATTATATAGTCTTTAAAATTCTTAATTTTAATGGCTGCTCAATATTCCATAATAGCACATATAGCACTGTGCATCCATCCAGTGCCTTTTTAGCTGATATTTGGATGTTTTGCTCTGATAAATACACCTCTTCTCTGAGTAAAGCTCGTCAGAGAATGAGATCCCAAGCTTCCTTCTATACCCTGTGGGTGCCCACATAACACATTTTACTGGAAAGTCAGGGTATTATCTGCTTTAGGAGCTGGTTTATAGGACTAAGTTGGTTTCTGCTAACAAATGGAGCTTTTTAGCAACAGGGGTAACCCGCTGCTTCCATTGCCAGGGAAGTCACAGAAGTGGGCAGAGCCTGGTGCCCAGGGTAGAGGGGTGAGGTGGGAGGGAAGATGTGGGTGGAAGTAAATAGAAGTTAGGAAGTAAATAGAAGAGACCATGGAGCCAAACCCATTCTTCATTCAGGTTCAACAATGCTTCCTTGAGGGCCGGATCAGGACCATGCCTGTGCCAGGCCCCGGGCGTGTCTCAGAAAAGACATGGTCCCTGCTCTCCGGGAGCTCAGTCACCACTGAACTCTCACATGTTAGAGTCCAACCTGGAGAGTCGCCTGAAATGCGCCATCCTAGGGACCACACCCAAAAGTCAAATGCAATAGGTGGTGGGCCTAGAATCTGAATTTCTTTCCACTCCCCAGGTGACCCGATGAAGGTGATCAGGAACCATTTGGGGGGAGGGTGATGGGGGAGTTAGTCAAGCCTCTGGGAGGAAGTCTCCAACCAGGCAAATCTAGAGCCTCCACACGCTCAGTAGGTAACTTGATCCTTCATTAAGCCTTAGGCGACAAAATCACGAGGACACCTGTCAGACACACCTGTGCCCACATCTCCGTTCCAGGCTCCGGTAGGTAGCTGAGTGACCTCAGGCAACTGAGTTAACCTCTCC